CATCTTCCTTTTGGGGTTTTCTTGAAATATACAATTTTGAATTTTTCCACTCGACCATACTGAAATACGGCCAAAGTCATACCTGCGCCGGAAAGTTCTCCCCTCCGCGACGTCTCCTCAGCAATTTCTACTCAAACACCACTCTCAAGGCCCCAGAACAAAGTGTATTGTTGGCTCTGACAAGGAAAAGCAGCGGTGATCACTTGTCGCTCCAAACGACAAGCTTCTCCTTGCGCCACCAATAATATTTTGTGCGACTAGACTGTTGATGCAAAAGTGACTGAAGTCCTGAGCGCAGTTTTTGAATTTTATTGCAAGATGCACGGTAAGATCGCGTGCTCTGTGACGTAGGGTGACGCTTCCTGGATCACGACACGCAGTCATCGATCGCGAACGTGCCTGGAACGCTACTCGGAGCAGACCATGATGGCAGAGGTAAGATGAGCTGCATTTCCTGCTTGATCTGAGGAGAACCCCCACAAACTGTCCTAGGAGTGTTGCAATGGCAGCAAGCCGTTGAAATATTCCCCCCCCCCCCCGTACAGCTTGGAGACTCAGAGTTATTCATCTTTCAAACTTACCTCCTTCAATCCCGAACACAGTCCAACAGTAAAAGTCCCTTGTTTTCATGTCGATGCTCGACAAAAGCTGCTAGCTCGGTCACTTTGTGTTGGCTGGCACGCGAGCAGCACTGGCTGCACGAACTTGTCGCGTGAACTGCATGAGGGATTTCTTACGTCATAAAGAATGTGATTTCTTCTTCATTTCACTGGTCTTTGACCTACATGGCCATATGGGAAAGTCCCGATTCGTAGGCCTACAACACGGTCAGCGTGTTCTTGAGCGCAGTAACAACACAGGTGTGATCACTTCCAGACCAACGGGCGTTCGAGGCCAGTAACAAGCGCACTTGACGAAGGTGACTCTGAAATCTCTGTGAGCCGTGATCCACGCGACTGGGCATTCTTGCGTCACAAGGCACGTGATTTCACCGTGCCTCTTTTAGTAAAATTCAAGAATTGCGCTCAGGCCTTCAGTCACGTTTGCATCAACAGTCGCACAAAAATTATTGGTGGCGCAAGGAGAAGCTTGTCGTTTGGAGTGACAAGTGATCACCGCTACTTTTCCTTGTCAGAGCCAACAATACACTTTGTTCTGCGGCCTTGGGAGTAGTGTTGGAGTAGAAATTTCTGAGGTGACGTCACGGAGGGGCGAGCTTTCCTGCGCAGGTATGACTTTGGCCGTATTTCAGCATGGTCGAGTGGAAAAATTCAAAATAGTTTTTTCAAGAAAACGCCAAAAGGAAAATGGGGGACATGTCCTCAGCGCTAGAAGAGGTGTTCTACTATCTGCCGGTGTATAGTTCTGGCCAATTGAGGATGTAGCTGGCTGTTTCTTCCAGCGCTTGTAAATCGGCTCTTTTTAAGATGATCATTTGTGGCGTCAGGGGGTGATGGACTTCGTCTTCTGGGATCCTGGCGTGGCTAAGCGGTACTGCTCCAGGAACTCTTCTAAGGTGAGGCAATGGTGGCTTGATGGAGTTTTGTTCATAGCTTGTTCGTATACGCTGCGGCGTGACTCGTTTCTACACCTATAAATAATGTGATATTTCGGCCATTTTTGAGGGGTATGCAAATTTCAAGGTTCCCTTCAGAAACTTTTTCAAGGGCTTTGCACAATCGATCCACACCCCAAAGAGAACCTACCTACAAATTTTGAGCGAAATCGGAGAGATCCACTTGCACACATACTTTGGTATTCTCAGACATGCTCTCTTAAAGGGGAAGTTAAGGCAAAAATTAAAATTTCAACAGTTGTGGTATTCGGGGTGCTGAGTCGAATGGTTTTGGTCCGAGAAAGCTGAGACGCTCCCTTCCTACTTGAATCCCAATCGAACTCGCGCACTTCCACCGAAACTGGGTGACTGCGCCCTACGAGATGGGGATTTGTATGCAAAATGTCACTAAAAGCGCCATTTCGTTCCTATAAAAGCACGGATGACCGCGATTGGCCCTTATGTTGTAGTCTTTGGGACGCTGAGTCGACTGGTTTTGGTCCGAAACGGCTGCGATGCAGCGTTCCTCCTTTATTCCCAATCGAACATGGTTGAACAAGTAGTCAGTGCTCCTGCGTACACCAGTCACCTGGTCACCGTGCCTGCAGGGTACAACTGACTAGCCTGTTTGACCTTTTTTGGGGGCAGTCCTGTCACTCGAGTTGAACTCGAGTTGAACCTTGGTGTGAAGGGTGTCGCCTGCTGGCGTGGTGACCAGGTGATTTGGGCGCCCAGGAGCACGTGACCACTTGTTCAACCATGTTCGATTGGGAATAAAGGAGGAATGCTGCATCGCAGCCTTTTCGGACCAAAACCAGTCGACTCAGCGTCCAAACGACTACAACATATGGGCCAATCACGGTCATCCGTGCTTTTATAAGAACGAAGTGGCGCTTTTAGTGACATTTTGCATACAAATCCCCATCTAGTAGGGCGCAGTCACCCAGTTTCGGTGGAAGTGCGCGAGTTCGATTGGGATTCAAGTAGGAAGGGAGCGTCTCAGCTTTCTCGGACCAAGACCATACGACTCAGCACCCCGAAGACTACAACTGGTGAAATTTTAATTTTTACCTTAACTTCCCCTTTAAGAAACTCCACTATTGCCCACGTGACCTTAGTTGTGGCCTCCTGGTGCCCGTATACAAGCGAGGAAAACCTATGGGTGCACCGAAAAGTTACAGACCGGTCATGCTGCTATCAGTTGTTCGCAAGGTGCTGACCCGCATCATCACCAGGCGTTCACAACAACCTAAGGTTACCACCTCATATGTGCGTGAAAGTCAGGCAGACTTTACACCCACACGCTCCACGGCTGATGGAGTTTCCATACTCGTGTCATGTGCGAACGTGCACTACTTGGTGACTGGAAATACTCTGCCGCACTATTAGACTTCAGCGGAGCATTTGATACCATTGTCTACTCTAAACCACTCTAATACAAACAAGCTAAACAAACAAACAATTGTCCGTGAGACGGCGTTGGCGCGGTTTTCAGACTCTGGAGCTGCCACTGATGTCGTTGCCACTCTGATCTCGGACACGACGGTGAGAGTGAAGCTCAGTTCTCATTTAGGCAAAGCATTGGCTACAAATATTGGAGTAGTGCAGGGGATCCGCTCTCTCTCATCATGTACAATGTGTATTCTGAGGGAACCATGCGCCACCTTGATCCTATGCTATCGCACTTATCTTTACAAGCACCACCCACCCAATATACAGACGACACAACAATCCATGACACGGAGAGGCGAGAAGTCGAGGAGATGGTGGAGAAATCAAGTGAAAAATTCAAAGAAGAGAACCTAATGTTAAATATTCAGAAAACACAAGATATTACAGTAACTAAAGCCGACTCCTCTTGGCGATCAGTCAAGCTGCTTGGCTCTTTCTTAGGGTCCGCAGAGGACATTCAGGCAATAATAGGTGCTGCGAATAGAGCATTCAGCTCCATTTCGTGGAAACGTCATAAACTGAGCTCCAGACTTTGTATGTTCTCTGCCCTCATTCTGCCTATCCTGTTGTATAACTGCGGACTGTGGGCACTGACACAACAACTCAGTAATCGGCTGGACGCATGGAACCTAATAAAATTGCGCTACCTGCTTGGTGTTGTGTACCCTAACCACATGTCAAATGCTACGGTGTATTCCTCAACGCGAACAGACCCAGTCAGCACTACCTGTCGCAGACGTCGGCTGCTCTGGCTGGGCGATGTTGTTCGCGAAGGACGTGACTCAGCGTCCTACCAAGCACTGGAGATGGCAATTAATGCCCTGGACATTAAGCGCCCACGTGGCCGACCCCATCTCAGATGGATTGACAGTATTAAAAATGATCTAAAGCACGCCAATATTGATATTTCCGCCTGTTTTCAACTGGCTCTATACAAGAAAAAATGGTTGATGCTTGTGGAAAAATGTGATGCGCTTGCGTAGTTGTTTTTACTGCGATACGTTCTAACAATAATGAGATGCCTTTTGTTGGCTCTTCTGCCTGGATTTCGTTGATAGATCCGTTAAGCCTATGGGTCCTTCCATGAGTGACATGCGAACTGTAACTATTATTATTATTATTAAGTACATGTAGATCATAATGGTTTTTACACCTCTTGTACGGGCAAAAATCAACACAATGTATTAAAATGCAATAAATCATACCCTGGAGAAGAAATCAGAAAAAATACATGTATATTTAAACTCGGATAATGAGCCAGTAATAAAATGTAAAAAAAGAGAACAAGATGATAAACGGTCAGAAAGTGCGATACTATGGCACAAAACTGACAGGCTACTGAGACATTCAGCGACCCGAGACCTAGCTCCAACACATCTCCAGTGTGCAAACCAATAGCCTTCCAACTTGGAAGGTTCATGGTTATTATTATTATTATTATTATTATTATTTACACATATCCGCCGGATGAGTACGCGTGGCCCATGCACCATGGGGACCCACGAATACAAACCAGCATATGTTCCCTCAGCAATACAAGCAAGCAAGCACGCAAAGATAAATGAGAGCCCAGCTCATGGTTACGTAGGACCGAAAAGGGGAAGGTGAGCGCATCGAAAATGTGCACAAGCTAAGTCCCGCGCAAAAAAAGAATGCCGACTGTTACAGGGCGATGACGAGGCTAGTTAATAACATGACAATGCGGTCTGACTACAATTCGAAGCAGCAAAGTAACACACCACCCAACTTGGGTGGGTCAGCAATATCAGAGATAAAAGAAGGGGGAAGCTTGGCGAAAGAAGCAGTCTAGAAAGCAGTCACGTGGTGTGCCTCTCAGGTCTCTGCAAACACACACACACACACACGCACACACACACACACACACACACACACACGCACACACACACACACACACACATACACACGCACACACACACACACACACGCACACGTACAGTGACAATTGAGTTCCACTGTAACGTACTGTACTCACCTTTACAAGATCTTCCATCGCCTAGGTAACCACTGCCGCAGGCGCAGCTGTACGTCCCGATCGTGTTATTGCAGACTGCCTGTTCATGACAGCCGTGTGTGATCGATCCACACTCATCCTGGTCTGTGAATCAAAGTGGAGAGAAGACAAGAATTATTTTAATGGAACTTACATGTAAAAGGCAAGCCTTGATGGGAGTAAAAGTTATTATTGGAGATACCAATAAAGAGGAATATCGTCAGTGCAATGAACTGAGCCTTATGTCACATGTCACTTAAAGAATATTACATGTAATTATAATCGTGTAATTGAACAGCTAACAACATTCGTATCTAATATTGACTGAGTACGAGGTCAATATAGGAAATAAAAGCCGATTAAAATACCGCAGCGTATCCGAGGTCTTTCACGAGGTTTTTATTTCATGACCACGTATGTAGTCAATATTAGATTTATCGCGACAAACAGTCCGTATTTCAAATCCCAGGCGATAACATCATGAATGCCGGTTTTATGATCACACAACCGCTGCACCCGCACCTACTCATGCAGTGACTATGCACTACAAGGCACCGTAAAACTGCGCATCACACAACGTCATAAGATGTCAAATACAAGCAGTCAATATACATATAAATATACTTATCACTCCCTTAGTATTGACTCACATAGGTTTTTGCCACACCTAAGCAGTCAAATATTCCTGCATATTTCACTCCTTAGGGCTATATTGACTGCTTATATTTGACTGCTTAGGGGTTGCGCAGTTGAACGGTGCCTAGTGCAGCATTGTCACTGCGTGAGTAGGTGGTGGTGCAACGGTTGTGCAATCATAAAACCGGGAATCATGAGGTTGTCGTTCTGGAATTTGAAAAACGGACTGTTTGTCGTGATAAATCTAATATTGACTTCGTACTTGGTCAGTATAGGAAATAAAAACCTCGTAAAAGACCTCGGCTTCGCCTCGGTCTTTTACTCGGCTTTTATTTCCTATATTGACCTCGTACTCAGTCAATATTAGATACGTATAGCCCTAAAGACTTAAACATGGAGAAATATTAATTTTGACTGCTTAGCTATAGCGACAATCCATGGGAGTCTCTAGAACAGAGTGATGAACACTAATGTCGATCAGCTGTTTTCCATAACCAATTTAAGTGCCGGTGCGTGATGTTCGGATATCGACTTTAATTAACTGGATCGAGAATTGGGGCTTCGAGTCGGGAAAAGAAAAAGTCGTCTTAGATATTATTTTCCACGTGTCACTAGCTGGTTTCGTGCAGTGTGAACAATGTACAGCGTGGTGGGAGTTTTTGTTGAATTTTTGGTTAAAATTTAATGACGTACCCTCGCAATGCCTGCCATCCCCAGTATAGCCTACTCGGCATCCACACAGATAGGAGCCATGGGAATTGAAGCAATCAGCTACGTCATCAGACGCACAGTCGTTCAACTCTCTAGACCGACACTCGTCAATATCTGCGAGTAGTAGAGAGAAACAATACAACCAAACATCACACATGTACTGGTATAAAGATTATTCATTTACGATATGATGAAGAATGGAAAAAAACAACATGTTACGAGTTATGACAAACTGTCCACCAACGTAACCAGATATTATACAGTCTGCGAGTGCGGCAAAATGGCACAAAACTGACAAGGAGTACTGAGACATTCGGCGACCTGACACCTAGCTCCAACACTTCTCCAAGGCGAACGCCAACTACGTTCCAACTTGAAAGGCTCAGGTTCGTAAAGGTCCAAGAGGGGAAGGAAAACGCAACGAAGAAGAGCACGAGCTACGGATCACGGCAACAAATAATGCCAAACGTTAAGGACTTGTTGGTTTGCGCCTTGGAGAAGTGTTGGAGCTCGGTGTCAGGTCGCCGAGTATCTCAATACTTCTTGTCAGTTTTGTGTCATTTTGTTGCACTCGCTGACTGTAGAGGATCTAGTTACGTTGGTGGACAGTTTGTGATAACTCGTAACATTTTGTCCTTTTCCTTTCTTCATCATAACTATAATATTATTGGCTCACCATGCGAGTTCAACATTTGCGATATGACCGTAGTGCAAGATATTTTTGAAGTCGACAAACATTTGTCAAGTCAGTGCCACGAGATGTAGATTGCCAGGTGAACCCAAGAGGCACATTCCAACACTTGAATGACACAAGAGGGTAGTCCTCGTGACAAGAGGGTAGTCCTCGTGAGGAGTTCATCAGTTCCATCCACTCCATAAGATGTACATGTACCTCCTTTACAATAGGGCTTGAAAGTGATGACGTCAAAACGGCCAGGGAGTAGTAAGTTGACATCAGATTTCTATTTTTGGATCCACTAAGGTGTGACTTTGCTATTGCCTAAGTATGTGGGTGCATAGCAACCCACTCATGTCGCATGCAGGTGTGACTTTTATTTCGCCACCAGTTGTAACCCCGCCCCAACTAGCCAAATCAGTCAGTTTCACTGGCTACATCACCATGCTGTGGGTAAGACCGCTTGAAATGTGCTTGGATCCATACAAAAACTGGATCCAAGTGGATCCATTTTTTGAATTTTTGAAATTGTTGCTATGCTGTGACGTAGCACTTTCAAGCCCTATACCCTAACATCTTTTTACTTTTTATTTATTTTTTACTGAGTGCACACCCTACTGGTCAGAAGGGAGAAGACAACAGAGTATACAATAAAAAAACAGCTATCTTCCACTTGAAATACATGTACATCTTGATATGATCTGTCCATGCTGTCTTTAGTTATTCTTTGTTTTATGACTACAACTAACCGGTTCTGCACTGAACTCCTGTGATCCCTGCCGGGCACTGGCACACAGCTCTCTGGAACACGTCACTGTACGAGCACGTTCCACCGTCAGAACATGGATGCTGAGTTGCTGAAGTGCCCCCAGGACACCTGGAATGCCCACCTGCAAGAATCCGGAAACCAGATTACACTGTATCTTCAATTCCAGGGAAGAGATATCTTTGAAAGAGATTGCATACGGACACATTTCTGCTTTTAGTCTTCTGCCTTTGCTTCTGCTCCTAGTGAAAAATATTGAAATTATAATAGAATGCGTCACTAACAAGACTAAAGGCAGGGAGAGGATGATGACATGTTATGTACGTCGTAATATTTACTTAATAAATACAAATTAATGTCATCCCCCTCTCTCTTCCCACGCTTATTATTATTATTATTATATGCATTCCCGCGGCAGCGTCAACAGTGCAAGTGCAAGTCGCACATGCACAAACACAGTCGACACGTTCGCTTATGCTGGACATGGTAAGAGAAGCAGTTGATATAGGAGACATAAAGACAACAAGCACAAACGTAGCTGTAAATCCTTTGTGTATAGAATGTTTAAAGTGTATTGAGCGATATTTCAGTGATCTGGGAAAAAGGTGACGGCGCGGTTTCATCGCCGCAACCTCTACTTGCAGATCATATCCAGTAGCTGCCTCCATTCGCTTCGAACTGCAGCTACGTCTGATAGGCGCTCCAGATCTTCCAGGCTCTGCAATCGCCCGCACGCAGCTCTGTGGAGGTCGTCGTCGAGCTTCACCGGCAGGGTTCTGCGAGAGCGGCCTCTCCACTTGTAGTCATCACATTGAAAGTACCTGACCATGCTTAGGACAGCGGGGGCATCACTGGAAAGTCGAAGGATATGGCCAAATAGCCTCCACCGAGCTCTGTTGATGATGCGGCTGATCGGCTCTGCCTTGCACCTGTCGTAGAGTGTTGTTGTTGCGATCTTCTGCGGCTAGACAAGGCCGATCAGTGAACGGAGCTGGCCGCGGTGGAATGCGTCGAGTCCACCCTCGGCAGCTGCCGTGAGTCCCCATGTGCCGGCGTTGTATACTAGCACTGGTAGTACAAACGCATTGTAGAGACGAAGACTCAGTTCTTCTCCAACGGTACTGCGCCGGCTCCATAATGACCAGAGCGATCGAAACACTGCAGCGGCTAGTTGTTTCCTCCGAGAGACATCCTCGCTATCCCCGAGGAGTGAGCCGAGCTTCTTGGTGGTGCGCCACTGTTCCGCAACCCTGTCCAGGGATCGGCCCAGAACGGTAATTTCTGTTTTTATATCTGTTTTATCCGGGTTTACCTTCAGAGCCCATCCGCTTCGCTATCATAATACTACACGGCTACGATCTCGTTTGACTTTGTGAAGTAAACAAAAACGAGAGAACTTGAAAGTTGAAAGCTCAGGGCCCTCGCTATGCTTTTTGCCTAGGTCATCATGCATTTTATTCAAACTGATGGAAACGATTTTGCAGTGCAATGTTGAATGAAAGAAAAGGTTCAGTGTCGAGAACATGCCTGAGAAAACCAGAAAATGTGGGCTTCGCCATCTCCCTGGGTTCGCGCAACATCTAGCAAGTAGGTTTCCTTTGCGGTCTACAACGACCATGCAGAGGTATTCGCTTGCACCACTAACGGATATCTGGAAACTAGTTAAAAAAAACTCGATGTTGAACCCAACACGGACTGGATTTTGAAACCAAAAGAGAGGGCTGGTACAACGGAGATGAAAACGAGCAACAACTTTTTGAACTTTACCTACCGATAAATTAGCTAGTGTTTATGTCACCGCCAAACGTAGCCATGCCTACAGCCTAACAACTCAATGACCACCATCTAAATATTATGTCACAAGGTTCTATTCATGCAGCTGTATTCACAAGGCTTACGGACACAGTTCTTGGTCTTGTTCGCTAGGTCAACGTCAAAACCGAGCAGAATCCCAAGCAGGAATGTGTCATAGCGCTTGATCTTGGCTTCGTCCAAGCGGGCATGTCTGAATTGCGCTGAGGATGCGATCCTTGCGACCTTCGAGCTGCTAGCCCCTGCTAAAGAGAGCCATGCCTGCATGCAGTCGAAGGAGTTCTGGTTGTCGATGGAGGCTGCAAGGAGAAGGTGACAGTGGAAAATTTGGCTAACCACGGTCGCAGTATTATGGAAAGCCTGACTTGGGATGGTGCAATTATTCCAAATCAATCCCGGTTCTCTAAAAGCTAAGATTTACATACATCACCATGAACATACCTTCGGGCGAATGAGAGCTGGATTTAGTTGGCCGTTCTTCGACCACGTTCGCGCCGCTGCATACTGGCCAGACAACCATAGAAATACAAAGGAACAACTCCTGGACGCGCATGATGGCGACTAAGAAGTCTTCGCTTTCCCACAGAGGCACTGTGTATCCAGAGAGAGAGAGAGAGAGATAGAGAGAAATGACCGTTCGGGAATCGTTCTGTTCTATTTTATGATGTGGTGCGCTGCGAAGATCGTCCTTCTCTGCAACATTGCGCGCGAACAAAGTTTAAAAAATAACAGGTTTTCATGGTCGCATTGGTCTGTACTTTGTAGACGCATTCTCGTATTCTCTATTGTGATCTCAAGTGTGTACTCGAAGTCAATTACATGTAGATCTGCAGAGATTTTATCTAATCTTTGCGTTTGCTAACACGCTGGCACATAGTTGGGTGCTTGGTTGGTTGGTATATTTTTACCTCGCCAGAACGAACAGGCATTGCTGCCTTCATGCCTGGACAAGTGGATTCTCCGAGCTATCACAAAAAAACGAAGAAAATTATACACATTATCATATACTGTAAATATACAAAACTTCGGCACTTCCCGATTTTTGACATTTCGGCGGCGATTTATTTTCGGCGTGGGGTAGAGGGCATTGTATAGTGCGACAGATGCTGTGAAAAATTTCATCGGCGTTTTAATTTAGGCATTTTGGGTCGGTGCCGAATATAGCTGAAATTAATTAAATAGCTGCCGAAAATTTGTTTATTTACAGTACACTTTAGGCATTTGTAGTTGCACGGTGCGAATGTTTAAACAGTGACAAATATCAGATACACTTCGAGTACCCCGAACGCAACTCGTGCACGCAGAGCTGATACTCCAACGTATGTACAGTGTATGATGCCGAATGCGCTATATGGCACACTCGTATACACTTGCAAGAAGACAACACGGCTTTGGGACTGTTGTCTATGGATTTATTATCTAGATGTTCTAGCCGTTAACAATCACGTGGAAGCGAATGCAAAACGATACACAAAACCAGTCTGTAGAAAATCAGAAATTTTCTAGTCACTTTCTACCTCTACGGTTGTCTGTGTTGTAGTGGTTTTTTTTACTTCATCAGATCTACAGGAAAAGATGCCTTCTCACCGGCCAGGGGCCAGTTCCTAGAAATGATGAAGAATGTGTTATAGGCGATTCACACGACAGGCAAATCCACGTTTGTCAGGTGCCCGCAGGAAGTGAAACGTGAGGCTGCAGTTCACACGGCGGCGGGTGGCGGCCAGAGCTCCCGCGAGTATCCGGTGAGCATACGGCGTTACTGTGGTGATTTGGAAAGAGTACCCAAAGACGAAGGCCAAACAACCAGGGTTCAAGACTACCGTACGATAGTATGACCTCACAGCCTCATAATAGGCGATTCACACGACAGGCAAATCCACGTTTACAGGAAAGTCGCCATGGAGATATTCCTGCGGGTGACCAAAATTTGCCCGCGGGAATCAAAAGTGTCCATGGCCTTTTTGCTCGCGGATGCACTCATCTGCGGGCACTTTTACAGTTATGAGGCTGTGAGGTCGTACTATCGTACGGTAGTCTTGAACCCTGGTTGTTTGGCCTTTGTCTTTGGGTACTCATTCCAAATCACCACAGTAACGCCGTATACTCACCGGATACTCGCGGGAGCTCTGGCCGCCACCCGCGGCCGTGTGAACTGCAGCCTCACGTTTCACTTCCTGCGGGCACCTGACAAACGTGGATTTGCCTGTCGTGTGAATCGCCTATAACTGTAAAAGTGCCCGCAGATGAGTGCATCTGCGGGCAAAAAGGCCATGGACACTTTTGATTCCCGCGGCCAAATTTTGGTCACCCGCAGGAATATCTCCATGGTGACTTTCCTGTAAACGTGGATTTGCCTGTCGTGTGAATCGCCTATTAGGGCCGGTCACGTTGAGGGAACAATCCTCAGATTATAAACCGGGAACAATCTGTTCTGCTTTTCATCACGGTCACACTGGATACGCACAATGAAAATTATCACACCTACACGAGCTACATTTTTTGTCACCATCCGCTTCTGGCAGTCTATCAACTCCGCTCCTAGGCCAGAGCTGCATCAGCACACCCTCTAGAGTATCGCTCCACTTGAGAACGCAATAAAAAACAAGGAAACTCAAAGAAATCCAGTGGAAGCCGCGGATGATTATAATCTTCGGCGGAAAAGCTGGGCCTGGAGCTGATTTTCATCGAGTGGATTAAATCTCTCAAATCTCCCGCTCAGCGGCAACTATCCATGGAAACCAGGGATTTTTTTAAATTTTCCCTCAGTGTGACCCTTATGGGGCACTTTGGGGACATATTTTTTTCAAGCAACAAAAAAATGTTTTATTGCGGACAATTAATGCGATCGTGCGATGAAAATAAAGAACATTGAAAAAATTAAAAAATATATAATTTTGATAGTGCTATGAATTATTTCAATGGGCAACCAAGTTCAGCGGCTGCAAGAACGTATTGGACATATTCGACTTTAACACAACATGAACGGAGACATACACGCAGGTACATGTACATGCTACATGCTACATGCTACATGCATACATGCATACATGTACAAGTACAGTCATGCTACTTCAGAAGTACATGTATACATGTACATGTATGTACATACAGACCCATTGTTTTGCGACGGCTGCACGCAACCTCCGAAGGCGGAAGCTCAAATTAGCAGCATAGCCAACTGTTCCAAGACGGCCACACAGACATCGTACATACTTCAAGTAGGAGATCAAGTACATTGCATTGAATAAGAAAGTTGCGGAATGTAGATATCTCTCTTTTATATTTATTAATTTTTTTGTGGGGGGTGTTGCTCCCTACATGGGAGCTCACTGTTTTCTTGCCGACTTGAATTCTCACATGACTGACCCACGACCGCCATCCAGAGCACACGAGAAGTGCATGGAGCCGTTCACTCGGCAAACCAGCAAGAAAACTCCCACATACGTCACATAGTGTTCTCCAAGCACAAACATCACCATGGATACAAACTTACAGAGACGCTCCGTTTCCAGGGCGACAATTAGCTCGTGAACACCAGATAGCAGCGTGAGTCAGTGTCGCACATGGAGGTGCTGAACAAGCGCTCAGACCCGTTGGCCATTTACAACGTTGTTGTCTCCAAACCATCTAATTCCTTGGTAATGTTTGTACTTGGAGAGCACTACATGTACATGTACATGTACATGTATACATTTACGTGGTGCTCTTCAGGCACAGTCTTCCCCAGCCTACTCAAGCTCAAGTGATGAGGGGTGAATTCCCCGAAACACTGTGTATTGAGCAGGGAGCGGTGCTGTATTGCAGGTTTGCGGAGTGGACGGTTCGATGTACTTCTCGTGTGCACTGGATGGCAGTCGTGGGTCAGTCAAGTGAGAATTCAAGTCGGCAGGAAAACCGCGATCTCCCATGTAGGGAGCAACACACGATTCCCCAAGTATCGCAGCATTTGTACCAACATCTGCGTTATAATTATTTTTTCGTACTATAAGCCATGTGGGGCACGCAATTGGAACATGCAGCAGCCATGGTGATGGGGGCAATCTACGAGAATCATTCTACAGGCTGGAGGATATCTCATGATGATGAGTATCTAAACATGTTTACATGCGGCTCGTCCCTTCACTATCTGCAAGTACATGTCGATTTTACCAGCCACAGTTACCTGTTGTTCGCTATACTGTCCTGCACCTCTTGAGCCTTTAGCCTAACCGCATGACCACAGTTGCCTGTACCAGGCACTGTATGCACATCATTCTTTTCTTCTTCTTTTTTTTACTGTGTCCATATTCCGAAATAATGAGGAAGGACAAAGATGGACTCGGATGGAGAGCCAAGAATTTATTTATAAGAAAGGAAAACGGACCAAGGAACTAAATGTTAAGTTATAATGTCCACTAACATCACCATTTACTAAGCATGAGCTTACTATGTTTTATTTGAAATTCTCTTTCTTTACTGAGTTGTTGTTGCTGTTGATTTGCTACTCTTTTGTTTCCCTCTCCTTAGTTTTATTTTCGCCGTGGTTGGCAATCACCCACTCTACTAATATTGGCCGGTGTTTCCACCGAGTCTTGAGATGTTGAAATAAATATAAATAAATAATATAAATGAACTGTCTGTTTAGTAACTGGTGGTGCTAGTGGACATTATAGTATAACGCGTAGTTGCTTGCTCCTTTTTCTTTCTTATAAACTTAGACTTGACCAAACCTTTTACATGGATGTGCGGTGCAAATCCTTAACTAAGGACCACCTGCCACTAAAGACCGCTTTTTCTGACCAAATAGAGTGGTCGTTAGGGTGGTGTAAGCAACCTCTGGATTTAGCGACCACCTGCTCATGTTTCCATGCACGGACAGTTCTACCCTCAAAATGTGAGACCTGGTTCTAAAGACCACCTGGCTTTAATGACCGCTTTTCCTTGCCCCTTGGGGTGGTCGTTAGTCACAGGTTGTACTCTACTAAGATCTGCATTGTGAAAGGGGCGCATGTGTTGGAATGCGTAAAATAAGAAAGGATTATTATTATTATTATAGACAACACCTCATGGCATGAGAAGAAAATCAGCCAGTACGGGAGATGTGGGTGTTAACCAACCATGGTGAATAAAAGAAGAAAAGTAATGGTCAAGACGGAGAAGCATGGGAGGGACAGGTGATGGTGAATCTAGTGAGCAGATTTAAATGCGTCCAGGGTACTGGCATTGCGCGTAGTAGCGGGCAGCGCAAGCCAAGCAGAGTAAGCAACAAAGAGTGGAGAGCGTACAAGGGAGGACGTTTTAGCCAAGGGGAGGGCAACAGAGCATCTTGTCTGGGAGCCATCTGTGATTCGGAACCAGTTATACACGTTAAGATGAGGAGGATGTAGAGCTAGTTTAAATTTGTGAGCAAAAGTGCAAATTAATTTTTGACGGTGGGTCGACAGTGGGCAAGCATTTGCAAGGACATACAGGGAAGCAGAAGGGTAGAGAGGGGGTAGACTAAACAGGATACGAAGAAGTTTTCTATGGTGGATTTCGAGATGCTCAGCGAGAACCGAGGACAAGCCACACCAGCTAACAGCAGCGTACATGAAAAGAGGCAGGATGTACAGTTTGTAAAACAAAATTTTACATTTGAAAGGAAGATGGAAACAATGGGGACGTATAACACCTAGGGCAGAGCTTGAACGGCTGCAAAGAGCATCAATATGGAAAGACCAAGAGAGACGATCATCAAGCATTATTCCCAGGTGTTTATGGTTGGAAACAACCTTTATGGGTTCTGGGAAATCAGGATGGTGTAAAAGTGACATGGATGAGATTGGGGGAAGGAACATTATTTCGGTTTTAGTCAGGTTGGGTCTAAGTCGCCATGTTTGCATCCAGCGTAGGACACTGCATATCTGAGCCGACACTCGAGGTACAAGAGCCGCTGAGGACGAGGATGCTGACAGTAGGGTTGTATCATCAGCAAATAACGAGACACCTGGGTCTATAGAGGGTAAATCATTTACGTATGCTACGAACAAAAGAGGTCCAAGTATGGAGCCTTGGGGAACTCCAGAAGACACTGGTAGAGGATCAGAGTTGATGGAGAGGGCAGAAACAAACTGTGATCGGCTACTCAGATAGGACTCCAGCCAGGACAGAGCAGGGCCAGACACACCAAAGACAATATGTAGCTTGGCAAGGAGGCCACGATGCCAGACAGTATCAAAGGCCTTTGCCAAGTCAAAGAAACAGAGAGCAATATGATGTCGAGCATCACGAAGGGTGGCAATGTCTTGTACTAGACGAGCTAGTTGGTCAGAGGTTGAGTCGTTGCGCCGAAAGCCAGATTGGGAAGGGCTAAGGCATGGTGAAATGTGGCAATACAACTGGTCGTAAAATACCTTTTCACATACTTTTGAAAGGGAGCAGAGAAGAGATATTGGACGATAGTTTGAGGCTTGTGATCGGGAGCCTTTACACTTGTAGATGGGCGTGACCTTAGCGATCTTCCAACGATCAGGAAATACGCCGGAGGAGTAGGAAAGGTTGAATATAAGGCACAGTGGGTACGCCAGAGATGGAGCCAGAACTTTGAGAACTTCATTTGGTAGGGCATCAGGACCAGGGCTTTTGTTGCTTTTTAGTCTTTTTAGGTAGCTGCGAACAGATGATGTGGTGGTATGTATAGAGCGCAGATCAGAAGACACAGTCGCAGAACGTTGCAGAGGTGGTATTGGAGAGGAATGGTCGTCTGGAATACCAGCTGATGTGAATTGCGTATTGAGAGTATTAGCTATAGACTTGGGGTCAGTCACCATCGAACCATTGGAAGCTAATAACGGTGGTATGTCTTGACGTGTACTAGTTGTCCTTTGAGTGCGAACAAAGGTATACAGGTTAGGCCTGGAAGAGGGGTGAGATAGGGTGGTAGTGAGCGAACGTAAATATGCTCGATACTTAGAACGTGACAATGACTTCACCAGATTGCGCTGTTTTTGTATAAAGAAATATTAGCATAGGTGGAGTACTTCTTACTTAAGCTATAGTAGTCGTATTTGAGTTTAATTGCACCTTGGAGATCTTTGTCGAGCCAAGGGATCTTGGGGTTACGGCTGGACTGACGAGGTTGGTGGCTGCCATGTTTGGGTGTAGCGGGTCTTGCTCCGTATTGTGGCACATAGAAGGAGAGCACGTCATCAAGAACTGTGGTGAACTTCTCCACAGCTTCATCAACAGTAGTGGAGGTGAATAAAAGATGCCAGTCACAGGCAAAAAGTGCAGAGTTGATGATTGACCAAGTGGAGGGTGTAACCTTGCGGAAGGCATGTCGCGGAGGGGTAGGAGTCTGAGAGCAGTTGTAAGAGGTGTTAGCAGTGGCAATGTTGTAGGCTAGCGTTGTAATGACTTGCAAATGATCCGATGCAGCAAGCGGGGCAGCATCGTCAACAGAGCGTACAGAGAGGGGGCGGTTCGTAGCAAGCAAGTCCAGACAGGACAGTCTTCCATTCGGAGCGACACGGGTGGGGAAATTGACAAGCTGCTGGAGGCCAAAGCTAGAGAACACGTGTGATAGCTCCGTACCAGCACGCGATGTGGTGTCACCACTCCACCAGTCAGAATTGTGGGCATTGTAGTCACCAGTAAGAAAAACATCAAATAAAGAGAGGTCCAAGGAACACAGCGTGTCGGTAAGTATGTCGCAAAAGGAGGTGATATCAAGAAGGGATTGTGAAGGGGGGCGGTAATGACAGCAAATGAGTAGCGGATTGGCCCGGAGACCTGCCGGTGCACCAAGCTCGAGCCATAAGGCCTCGCTTTGGGGAGAATCAAGGTCATGGCGACGGGTGCAATGTGGAAATGTCCCATCACGTATGAGAATGGCCACGCCACCATATCCACGTAGGTTTGATCTCAGGTTCTTATGTGTAGATCTGTCTTTACGGAAGCATGTGTAGCCTGGAACACTGAATGAAAGTGACGGGCTTAGCCAGGTTTCTGTTAAACATATTATGGTGGGCTTGTTGGCCTGACATATTGCGTACAATTCCGGAAGTTTGTTTGTTACAGAGCGACAGTTGATAGTTACAATGTTAATAGAATGTGCGTGGTCCGGGAGAAACGGGAAAGCATGAGCGCTCAACGGGGTGAAGACCGACATTAGTTTGTGGTAGGGGGCGTCGTGGAGCTGCTGTTGATTAGGAGTTTTAGTAGTTTGTCGTCCAGAATCAGGAAGGAATGGTGGTGCAAGTGGAATATGACCACTAGATATAGAAGAATATGTAACGCAATGAGGGGAAGGGTGTGATGAACTTGCGTGGGGCACAAAGGGTTGGGCAAGAGGATTTAGCTGTTGGCTAGGTGACCGAGGACCCATCACTTGCTAGCGGAGTCGGCATAGCGCCATTTGCGGACGGTGTGCGCAATGGTGTCGGGCCAGAATTCCTTGTCAAGCAGCGTTTGCTCAAACTCTTCCGCGACAGAAACGCGTGCATAGCAGGTACCAAAGTATTGGGTTTCGGCAATTGTGCATGCGTATACATCAACGCCCCTATCAGCGCACCAGGTGACAATGGACTGTGCCTTACTTCCAGGGCTAACATTCCCGACAAAGAAGGCACATCGCTTGGGAAGATGTGTGCCAGTGAGTGTGTTGGGGTTGGGGTTTTCTGTGGCCATTTTTCTGTAGACAGACACAACTTTGGATTTTGTTGCCCGGGCAATGGGATCGCTGTGGGCCGCTGATTTATTGCTCCTTCGCCGCTGTTCTTGCCAGTTGTTCTGATGGGGATCGCCTTCTGTGCTCCCAGCAGCACCCTGAGTACATGTGGGCTGTACTGGTGCACCACCGCCGCCTGCTGTTGTAAGTGCGCCCCCAGTTGTTGCATTTCTACCAGTGTGTACGGGTATGTTCCTGCGTTCCATGTGGTTGGTGTTAGGTACGGTGGCCCTGCTAGTGCTAGTTGACCTGCTGTGTAGAGTGCGTGCATCCTCTTCTGGCTGTGTGCTATTCGTACTCACTGTACGAGTACAACGGGATTGCATGTCTGGAGTGTCGCAGTGTACGGGCTTGGATGAACCATTGTACTGCTGCTGGTGAAGCTGTTGCACTTCCCCCTTCAGCTCCGAAATTTCCAGCTTCAAGGACAAAATTATGCTATCCCTGTCCTCCCTCATGGAGGCAATCTCCCCCGCCAAGGCCTGGATAGTGTTAGCAAGGCTATCTAGCTTAGAGTCATTAATCCACGACGTACCGGTGTCAGTGACGGGCTTCCCTCCAACGCCGTGCTTCCGCAGTGCCTGCACCAGCTCTGGCCGGGCGAGGCTCGAAGGGGAGTCCAGGGACTTGCGTTCAGCGATGGCGATTAGTTCCTGGTACCCGATCAGGGCAAGATCAAGGTTCTGGTCCAGGGACATTCTTAGTTTCAGCAAGGACAAAGGTAGAAGGGTAAAACTGCTGCGGGGGGCTCCCGGAAAGCTGTTCCGAGGAGCACCAAAAACGTCAACCACCCCCTGAGATTCAAAAAAAGTATAGATACAGACGGGTTGAACATTCTTCTGCATCATTTTATTTTACACGTTCCACCGCATGTCAGTGACATACATACAATGTACATGTATACCAGTCCACCTAACGATATTGTTAATACAAGGAATCGGAGGCCGACAACGTTTTCTCTTACGGTATATCTCTAGGAGCACTTTTTCACAAAAGAGAAGGACGCAACTCTCCAAAGACAAGAAGTAACTCCAATTTCAAGGAGCATTGCATCGCGAACAATGGCTCAGCCAGATGGGTATGCCTTATGCCCGAAATAGGTTATCTTGGGTTTATCTTTAAATACAAGATAGCCACAAACCATAGTGGTGCAAAACCTCACAGAGATGCACATAGCTATGGCAGCCAACGCAGAGGAGGCGGAGCAAGAGCAGATAAACCGACCAAGGGTGTCCTTTTCACCACTGCTTATGCGCGCCAGAGATAAAATACGAAAATAGAAAGAAATGAGCAGGAACATTGTACAGCAAAGGGAAAGTTGGTAACACAGTCGCGCAATGTGTAGAAGTGGAATATTAACGCTGGCTAGCAGCTGCAGGTGCACTGCATCGACATGCATACATCTCACATTCTTTGCTTCTACTTCAAATCAGCAAGGTGAGAGCTCCTCAACAAACATGGATGCAGGGGGTGTGGTAGGGCCTCTATGCTTACCCTCCCCCGCCCATTGCCTAGAGCATGCCACTGTGGCACGAGTTGTCAGTCTGATGAGCCCCGCAGCCAGTTGTTGACAGGTACCTGTTATCACTGTGGGGGCAACGTTATAGACGTTGGAATCGCTGGATCCGTGGAGCCCTACAGTATTCATAATTGGAGCTGGATCTGCACATTCTTGTCCATTCAACAGAATGGAGTAGGCTAGGCAAGACCAGGTATTTTGGGCCTGGACCCCCAACATAGTCGAGTAGGTGATCCGAATTGCAGTGTCATTCCGTTTTTTGTAGAATTCATGGTTCCACACAATCATGTTGTTCGACTTCGAAGGACTAGTTTGCACAAAGTTCTGCCAATTCACGACCCCACACTGCAAGAAAAGAATCAAATAAACACCGACGATAATTAAAACCTGAGCGCAAATCTTCCCATCACCGAAGTGCTGGAAAGTAGACCTTAGCATCAGTAATGCCCAACATTACTGATTCCCTTTCTTTGAAACAAACAATCAGTATGTAATGTTCGCTCTGCTTTCAGAACTCGCAAAGACACGATCAATGTTTTAAAAGACACGATTCGACAGCAAGTCATCCGTTTTCTATCACCTGTACTTATGGAGAACACATCATGCTCTGACACCTCTTAAGATGAAATGTGACGCTTGTACAACCTGTCTGCTTAACTGACACTATCAATTTAGATCCTTTCTGTCTGGATTGACGTGAAAACAAAACGTAGTAAAGGTTATGTGTACTAACGTCCGAATGTTGTAACAGTCCAACTAACTTCAGTAGTCATTCTTGGAATAAGCAATGATCCTTGCCATAATGCATTCTTATATACATGAACAAGCAATGATGGACATAACACCTAACAGCAGCAGCGTGATAATAGCAGGTGATAAGTGTATCCTATTCCTAGTGTTAGTAGTAACAGTGAATCTGTTACACCATTCCCCCCTCTCAACTGTCAGAACAGTACCAATTCGAAGGAACAGTTATGGTAACTAATGATCATGCATGGATATGTGGAATGCATGGTAGCCGAAAACAACACTGATGAACTCAAGATCCAGTGCATGTCCTCTGCAAATAACGCCTGGCTGGCAGGGAAGCACTATCCTAATCATGCAGAATGTTACATTTCTATTGCAACACGTAGAAACTAGCAATACAACTGTGGCTGCCAATTAAATAGCAATTTTATGAAAAACGGTCCAGGTAGGTTTTCAGCGGAATAATAGCGTTTCCTGCTTCATCCATCAAGTATTCCTCCGGCTCCCAGGTGGCATCTCGGTAGCCCTTCCATTTCACTAGGTACTGCGTGCGCCGTCCTCTCTTCTTGTGCGACAACACCTTTTCGACAATGTACCGCGTATGGCCATCCGCATCGGTTAGGGGTGGAGGTGCCGGCTGAGTACGGCCCGGTATCTCATTGCCATGGTACAGCTTGAGGGCAGCAATATTGAACACTGGATGGGCCCGAATGATTCTTGGAAGAGCTAATCTGTACGCATTCGGGGCCACTTTCTTCTGCACCTTGAACGGCCCATACCACTTGAGCCTTGATTTGTGTGAAGGCCTGTCCCGTTCCTCGGGCGTCAGCAGGACGTCCCTGAAGATCAACACCTCACCCCCCTCCTTCAGGGCGTCCTCCACCCGTCCTCGATCCGCATACAATGATTGCCGGGCCTGCGCCGCCACGATGGCATCCTGTGCCTCACGTAGTGCCTCTACGCGGCCATCCAGCCATGACAGCGGACCATTCGTGTCCATGCCAGCTCCAGCTTTCTGCTTCGTAAAATAAGCTCGAGGGAGTAACTGGATGGCATCCATGGTTGAGGAAAAATGGCGTGTTACCTGTTGACGCTTGATCGGCATTGTTGATCGCAAACTCACACAGCGATAGGAGTTCATCCCACTCGTTTTGCCTATGGTTGACGAAAGCTCTTAGCGTATCCTCAATGACACGGTTCACACGCTCAGTCATGCCATCGGTCTGCGGGTGGTTGGCCGTGCTCATTTTTAACTCCACGCCAAGAATACTGAAAACCTCCTTGAAGAACGCCGACGTGAATCGCGGATCTCGATCACAAACTATCGTTTTGCTCAAGCCATGGGCAGCAAACACATGATCCACGTACAATCGGGCTGCCTCCTTAGAGTCAACATGAACAGTCGTCGGGATCAGGTGCACATACTTCGTCAGACGGTCCACAAAGGTTAGAATGGCGCTATGTCCTCGGCAGGTCAGCGGCAGTGCCATGATGAAATCCATGCTGATATCTGGCTTAGGGCTGTTCGGGGACTGGAAGGGACTGCAACAGTCCTGCCTTGGTCTGGCTACCCTTTACGCGTTGGCACCGGTCGCAAGATTTAAAGAAGTCCTTCACAGTACTTCTCATGCCTGGCCAATAGAAGTATCTGCTCAGCTTCAGGTAGGTCCTGTCTCTCCCCGGATGGCCGGCCGTCAGGCAATCATGATTCTGTTTGAGCAGTTGCAGCCGTACCGGACCGCGAGGAATGCAGAGGCGAGCATCGCACGATGTTACTAGGTACAGCCGCCGGTCCACACTGTTCCAGACGTATCGCTCATGCATGGCGTCTTCGCTGCAAGCCATCAAGCGCTTGATTACTGGCGAAAGCTCTGGGTCTCTATCATACCCTGCTGAGATCTGATTCGCAATTCCTTGATTCACATCCAGAGAGAACTCGATTCCATTCAGTTCCAAGTCTGGTCGACGTGACAACGGGTCTGCTATGTTACACTTCCCTGGCTTGTGATGTACCGTGTAGTCATAGTCGGCCAGGAATTCAATCCATCGAGCCTCTCTCTTGGTTAAGTTTGGTTTGGTCCTGAGGTAGACAACTCCCATGTTGTCGGTGTAGAGTTGAAAGTGGCGAAATAGGTAGACTCGCCAGCACTGCAGGGCGTACACTACAGCCAAAGTTTCTCGCTCGGCGGCCGTGTAATTCCGTTCGGCAGAAGACAGCTTTCGGCTCACGTAAGCCACAGGATGCCAGGACTGGTCCTCTGCTTGCTGCGTTAAGACTCCTGCCACAGCAAAGTCACTTGCGTCAGTCTCAACGCGGAAATCCTGACTGACGTTTGCTAGTCGCAACACTGGTGCATCCAGCAGAGCAGACTTCAATCGCTCAAATGCCTCCTGTCGAGTCTGATTCCACTCGATGCGCACATGTTTCCCTGTCAGTTCCTCCAGGGATTTGGAGATGGCCGAGAAATGGTTAATGAACCTTCGAAAGTAATTAGCGAATCCCAGAAACTGTCTTACGTGCGTGACCGTCGTCGGGACAGGCCAGTTATGCACGGCCTTGATCTTCTCTGGATCTGGAGAAATGCATTGGCCGTCTATCCGGTGCCCAAGAAACAGAACGTCTGTCCGGCCGAATTCACATTTACACGGTTTGCAATATAGCTCATTCCTCCTGAGGGCGTTTAAGATGGTTCTGACATGATCGAGGTGCTCCTCCCATGATTTGCTGAATATGAGGATATCGTCTAGAAACACCACAACGAATTTACGCAGGTATGGCTGGAGGACACTGTTCATCAAGGTTTGGAATGTTGCCGGGGCATTTGTTAGGCCGAAACCCATCACTGTGAACTGAAAGTGACCGAATGGGGTATTTATTGCTGTCTTCGGAATATCTGAACTAAATATTGCGACAGAGCTTTCGGCCATATTTTCAATTCATTGCATTCCCAACTCATCACAACCACGCGCTCTTCAGCCGAACCATACAGACACCAGCAAGGTCACTTCCGTTAAGAGATAATAATTATTGCTCCACGCCTCTAGACAGCTGTTTCGCTCCCTGTCGGAGCTCATCAGTAGAGGATGATAATGATGATAATGGAGGAATGATCATTCTTATACACCAGAAATGGCGCAAGTGCGCGCTTTCCACATATATCAATGGCATATGGAAGCTGCTAAAATGGTAAAGTGTGAGAACAGCGATAAATAATCATAGTACGCGCTCATTGGTGGAGAAACACCCCACACAGGCGACGAAAATCTTACGCGGAATACTGATGCCAAAGGAAAGTAAATGTATGTTGTTTATTATTATGATGTTGCAATGTCCATGTATGCAGGCCAGGCGAGACTCACCACCGAGATCCCCTAACGCGACAGGCTCGGTTGCCGTTCAGGATTCACACCGACCTGTCCGCCCGTCAACAGGATCGACAGCGGGAGGCCCCACTGATGCCGATGTCGATGCACACCAGGAAACTTGTAGTCGTGAGTGTGATACTAACACGTCCATCGGCAACCACTGACAAACGAGAGGCCAGCTGGGGCATTCACTCCAGTCAGGGATGCTTGGTCGACGCTTCGTATCAGCAGCTCAGCTCATTTTGATCAAACAAAGATATTGCAGATGTGTCTTGCTTTTCTCCTTCCTTCTTCACCGACTCGTCTTGTCATCTCTCCTTCTTTCTTCACCGACTCTTCGTGTCCACTCTGCTCTGCCACTAACGGCGCATTAAAACTTCAGAACTAAATATTGCGACAGAGCTTTCGGCCATATTTTCAATTCATTGCATTCCCAACTCATCACAACTCATCATTGTGATGAGTTGGGAATGCAATGAATTGAAAATATGGCCGAAAGCTCTGTCGCAATATTTAGTTCTGAAGTTCATTGCATTCCCAAATCATCACAATGATGAGTTGTGATGAGTTGGGAATGCAATGAATTGAAAATATGGCCGAAAGCTCTGTCGCAATATTTAGTTCTGAAGTTTTAATGCGCCGTTAGTGGCAGAGCAGAGTGGACACGAAGAGTCGGTGAAGAAAGAAGGAGAGATGACAAGACGAGTCGGTGAAGAAGGAAGGAGAAAAGCAAGACACATCTGCAATATCTTTGTTTGATCAAAATGAGCTGAGCTGCTGATACGAAGCGTCGACCAAGCATCCCTGACTGGAGTGAATGCCCCAGCTGGCCTCTCGTTTGTCAGTGGTTGCCGATGGATGTGTTAGTATCACACTCACGACTACAAGTTTCCTGGTGTGCATCGACATCGGCATCAGTGGGGCCTCCCGCTGTCGATCCTGTTGACGGGCGGACAGGTCGGTGTGAATCCTGAACGGCAACCGAGCCTGTCGCGTTGGATCTCGGTGGTGAGTCTCGCCTGGCCTGCATACATGGACATTGCAACATCATAATAATAAACAACATACATTTACTTTCCTTTGGCATCAGTATTCCGCGTAAGATTTTCGTCGCCTGTGTGGGGTGTTTCTCCACCAATGAGCGCGTACTATGATTATTTATCGCTGTTCTCACACTTTACCATTTTAGCAGCTTGCATATGCCATTGATATATGTGGAAAGCGCGCAC